GACACTTTGGGCCCAATTTGGACATTTTCACTTAGGGGTGTACTCACTTTTGTGGCCAGTGGTTTAGACATTAATGGCTGTGTGTTGAGTTATTTTGAGGGGACAGCAAATGTACACTGTTATACAAGCTGTATACTCACTACTTTACATTGTATAATGTAAATTACAAATAATTACAAAAGATATAATAAAATATTTACAAAAATGTGAGGGGTGTACTCACTTCTGTGAGATACTGTATATCTGAGAAAAGGCTCAAATGTTATCGATGTAATCAATTTACTTAAATGAGATTACCAGATAACCAAAAATAGCGGCAAATACAAATATTGACTCGTACAGAGAAATTGTCTTATCAAAGTAGAATGAAATCAACACATTGAGTGCCATATCAAATAAAGGCTAGGCTAACAGCTAGAGGCTATTACTAAAATTACATCAAATCAAAGCTCTGAAAGAATTTATCACAAATATGTGCAAATATATATAATCAAGCATTATGTAATGAATAATTAACCTACAGATGATGCTTTAACAAACACACAACAAAGGATGGCATCTATTGAAAAATCGAGGAGAAACTGACTGCATGAGAAATGTGCTCTACTCTGAACTCACTTCGCGTAGAACTGCCACTAGGTGGCGCCAAACCTATACAAGTGAGCAGAACATGAGTTATAAATAATATTTCCACAAATCTGAGTTTCTCTCACCTGTGATTGTCACTGTGATCAAGATTTCTCCTTCAGTGTCCAGAATTCTGTATGTTCCTGCATCACTGGCCAGAAACGCTTTAAAGATCAGATTCCCATCAGTGTCATTCAGTCGATCGCTCTGAACCCCATCAGTTCTGCTCCAAACCTCCCTCCACTCTCCACTAGAGCTTGTATCCACTTTATCAGCATTAGACAACAGAACATCCAACTCCAGCTCCTCGCCTATTTTCACAGTAATCTCATCTGAGGAGAAACAGAAAGACATTAATCATTATTATAATGCTCTCAATAAATCAAAGCCATAAACACATATTTATGATTGATGACCAAATGTAATCATTTAAAAAAGCAGATGTTGAAGGTTTGATCAGTTATGACTTTACCATGAATATGAAGTTGGTACGTCCTGATTTGTCGCTTCAGCTCTGTCTGATCATTATTGTAATAGATTCTCATAAAGTATTTCCCAGCGTCACTGAAGATCAGATTCTTGATGACGACGTCACAGTTTCCTTCTTTAAACGCTCGTCCACTACATTCTTCATCCTGACACACATCAATTTCTTCTGACTCACTGAATAACTCAATCTGAACAATTTTATTGGCCTCATATTCACATGTTAGTGTGACGTTTCCTCCCTTTTTTCCTGACACAGATATAGAGGTGATTCCTGCAAATACAGACAATAAAATTCAATACGATTCAATTTAAAGTGTCAATACTGAAAAATACATGCATTTCTGTCTATTCTCAGTAATTAATGTTATTATAAAATATTCTAATGAGAGTTAATTTAGTCAACTGTATTTTCTTTTGCTGAAGATATTGATTCACGCATCTAAGTGGATTCATCAGCTGTGAACTGATGGAGGAGTTTCTCTAATATTTAGCATCAGAAATGAATGTAAATATTAAGGATGCTCATTGCTCATCAGAGACATGATCTATTTTGCCTTTGTGCTCTTCATCTAAACACTTAACCTCAGGTTACTTCATTGTCTCTTCATGAAATAAAAGCATTAAATGCTCAATCTCAAGCACTAATGACTAATGAGATCTGGTTGATGAATTAATAGAAAGCAGCAGGTTCAGTCAGAAGTCTAAATGCAGCGACCAGAGGTTTACCTTATAAACTACTTAGTTTGAACTCTTTCCTGTTTTTACCAAAAAAGGACAGCAATTGTTTATAATAATGAACACAGCACTAAAAAACTTTCATTGCAGCAACCAGATATTTGTTATAAAAAATGAATTAAAATATAAACGAGGGCAATAAGAGCGAGTAATATTAGCAGTGGCACATTTTAACATTTCAAATTATGATAAAAAATTAATATAAAGCTGTAGCAGATGTACGAGTGCAGTTGTAATGAATTCCTGAACAATGTTTATTAATAAATGAACTGGATGATAAACCAGTGAACATTTCCACCATCAATCCACAAATGTTAACAAAAGTCTTCACTGAGTGACACAACAGAGAAATAATTCACTAGAATAACTCTAGCTGACGCTGAACACCAAGAATAAATAGAGTTTATAAACATAAATGACACTGACCGCTGTGATAGACGAGACAAAACAGCAGAAGATTCAAGCATCTGAACCTGATGAGAATAAGAGCTGTTATGAGACAGATACAGACACACATCACAAACACATTAATACAGCCATAAAATACTGCTGAGTGGAAAAATATTACAGAACTGACCACAATACAGCGACTACAAAC